TCACGATGAGAAGTGACCTTCCTAAGTTTCAAAGTGAAAATACACTGGGGTTTTAACATTTTTGTAGATTTTCCTTCTCTTGTAAGTGTCATTTATTCAGCCCTCAGTACCAGAGATGAATCATTGCGATCCCAGACTTGCCACTGATGGGATGGGAGCAGGAATCAAGCCCTGTCTGCTCTCAGGAACACACCTGAAGTAGGAAATTATTCCAGGTGGAAGAAGCAAAACATCACACCTTTGTAAATACAGTATCTTAACAGTAATAATCAATACCAAGTCATGAAAAAGAATAATGATTTTGGTTTATGTAATTCTTCCAGAACTGAATTTTTCTTCAGGGAATCCAATGCTTCTTTTTAAAACTATCCTGTGGTTAAAGGATAATCAAATCAGTTTTCATATATTAAAGACTAAATCCTTCATATATTCCCATTTCATACTTGTTCTTGTGATTCTTAGAACTCTTTCTCTTACCAGCTTTTAGTTGATTTAGATTAAGCCCTGTAACTAATGCCAAAAATTTATTCCTGCCTTGAAAAGGGATTTTGTAATGCTGGCATCGTCCCTTTTTGTCTCTCTATGGCTCCTTGTCAAAACCATATGCTTTACAAGTTGGGTTTTTATTTTTTTAAACCCCTCTTTTGCAGCCTCAGTCTGGCACCCGGAAGTCAGGCTGAATCCCTCCAGCCTCGTGCATCATCCCAACGTCTCTGCGAGCGGCACGGGCCAAACTGCACTGACTCCACATGTGTTACTCTGTTGTCTCCAAAGTGCTCCAAGTTACCATGAGCAGAGTTGGGTTTGAAATAAACGTCATTAAACATTTTGTTGGTGGTAATCAAGCCTAATAATTATAATAATAGGAAAAAAAGGGCCTACCCAGAAATGCTTTTCAGATGCTCCTTTGCTCTTTCATATCAGCTGGTGCCCAAACATTTCACGTGTCACACTGACAGTGACGGACTTCTCCACCAGCTCCACCTGAGATCCCCAAATCTGCCATCATTTCAGTGCTGTGGTCTCAAAGCAATTACTCTTCCATTCTTCTCATGTCTCTTAATGTTGTTTGCGACCAAAACATTTACAATACGATTTTATTTTAGGATCCTTTCCATTTTTGTAAATAAATCAAATGAATGTTCCTTTTACACAGCTGTAATTCACCCACATTGTTGCAGTAGAGCTTATTATCTCATTTACATTTTTAAGTGCTTTTCAAAGTGTAGGATATCTGCGCTGGAAAGCAAAACATTTCATTTCTTTGTTCTCAGGCCAACACAAAGCACTTCCAAGGTCAGGTATGGTGTAGACTTTCAACAGCAAACATGTTTACATGGCATTTGAAAGCTGGTTTAACTGAAAAAAAAAAAAAAAAAGCCCAACTGTCTTTATAGCAGTGATGTAAGTCAGCTTAGCAAAGCTGAAGGACAGGGATGAATTCTGTACCTGGAAAAATTCAGTTGAGTTAGGCTGTGGTTTCTGTTCAGGGAAAAAAGCCTCTGACACTTAAAAATGGGCCTTTTTGGTTTTTAATCCCTTTTTCTTCATCTCAACAGTTATTAAACATAAGCTCTGTTACTCTTTGGGCAAAATCTGACACTTTGAAGCTGTAGAATGAAAACTGCATTTCTAAACCAAACAAAACAAAAACCACTGTTTAATTTTACAAAAGAGGTGTTTTGTGGTGTACCTGGGGGAAGTCATCTGCTGGTTTTGGGAGTATTCTGTGTGGCAAAAGCTTCTCTGTCAGATACAGGAAAAGATTGCAGGGTAGTGGGTAGTTTCAGAAGCAGATAGCAGCATTCAGGCTCTGGCCACTGCATATGAAACTTTCTGACAATAGAGAGAATTTTCAGTGTAATCTTCAAAAGGGCGCATTATTCATGGCATCCATCGTGATTCCTCCTAGAAAATTAAAATCATGGGCAACAAACTTGCTTACTTCTAATTACTATTTTCAGAGCTAATCATATGCAGGAATCTACAGTGACCGTGAGATTCTGATGACTTTTTTTTTTTTTTCTCTTGGCAAGGCTTTGATCAAATACTGATCTTTTGGGTTTACTTTTTCGTCCTTGTGCTGATAGGAAAGCTGAAATATCCAAGTGAACATTAATTACTCATGGAACAGGCTTTATAAACAAAACTAGGTTCTACAAAGTGGCTGGTAGGAGAGCAGGTATGCAACGGAGCAGTAGTCCCAGAGCGGTCAAGTTAGAGGTGCTCAGATTGATCAGGGGAATTAAGTCCTTTTTTTCTGGCATCCCAACACAAAACGTACCAATGGGCAGTTATGATGCGATTGGAAAAGTCTGTAAACTCATGCAGTATATTTTGGGTTGGATAATTGATGAATTGCTAATTATAAGACATAAGAGTGTGCTGCACTTACATGCTATAGTAAAAATATTTCTAAGTTGTACTTGTTTAAGACGCTGTCTGTTCTCGTAGTAAAACAAAATACGTGCGCTCCACACTGGCAAACACACTGCGGAGTAGGTGGACCTCACAAAGACTGTGTGCCATCTGAATTTCCCAAATTAAATTACTTTAAGATGCATTGCAAACCCTCAGATTTAAAGGAACCTCTTATTTTATGCTCTGCCAATTATGTTTGTGTATTGTAAATAAATTTGCCACCATGTAGTTGCTGTCTTCACCAGGAACAATTTGAGATCCTGTTTTGCGTTCAGTACTTGCAGATTTTTGTGACAGAGTGTGACATAAATCTGTTCTGAGACAAATGCATACATGTATACATTCATATGCATACATGCTATCTCTTGACCATCTTCAGGGTCCTGTGAAAGAGTGAAACTTGCTCTTGAGCACAAGGACGAGTCCGGGTAGGACAAGTGATGTGTAGTGGGGTTTCCTGCTTCTTCGTTTTTCACCATGCCAAACTCTTTGGACTCTCTAAGCTGATCCCATGGAAATAGCAGAAGACAGGTCATACTTGGTGGTTCATCCAAAACATGTGCTGTGAATGTTCCCGAGAGTCGCCCTGCACTGGTTATGTCCAGACACCTCGGAGCTACAGCAGGACTTTTGTCAAATTAATTGTCTTTCTGATCCCTGGGATGAGCCAGCTCCTTATGACAGTTCTGCTTTGCATGACCTGATCATTTTAGTTTTTAAATCAAAGTATGCTTGTTTGTGTTTTACCTTACAAAATTAGATGTACAACAAGAAAACAAAAAGCCTGCAGTTCACACATATATTTCATTATATTAATGCAAATTCCTCGTACTGCAAGGCCTGTTGAGTATTGAAGACGGGTTATATATTCAAAGCCTGGATTTCAACATTTCTCAGAAGCGGTGATAGCATAAAAGTCCCTGGGCAGATTTGAAGTTCATGCTTGGGTCTGGTTAAATTTTTTGGCATCAGAACATGTAATAGTCTTATAGCTAGAAGACTTTAAAGTTAATGCCTGGCATCACTTCAAACCAATGTGCAAGATCTATCATAAGTAGTCCTCTTATCTTATCTCAATAGCAATTTTATCCTGTAAATGATTTGAAAGTACACTATTTCAGTGCTGTGGAAAAGAGCAAGGGGTTTTTTTTTCCTGCTAAATCTTTGTACTGCGAGTACTTTTAGTGATCCTGGTTTACGTACGGGTATGCTGCTTGGAGGAAGCACCCGTTAACTGTACGGCGTGTTCGGCAAAGCACACCAAGTGTCCGTGGACTGTAGGTCTCTCCTTTCCAGCGTGCTCTGCAGAAGGTCTCTGTGCAGCCCAGCTTTTTAAAAAGCAACCCCGGAGGCACCTTCGGTGTCATTTATAACGTATCTCCAACACGAGTCCCTTCCCAAGTCCAGTCCTGGCTGCGCCACGCTTTTCAGCTGATGAGTAGCAATGCCCTGGTTTCCTGGCATACAAAAGATAACTCAAAATATTCCTTTTCTGCTGCCACAGCCGCCTCTGTGTCGATGTCAGTCTAACATCCACATTGTGCGCTTTGCTTCCAGTCAGCACTTGCAGTTAACAATGCCTTTATTCAAGCTGACAACATAACTAAGCTTTTAGTAAACGTGTAAGTAAACGTTAAGTGTGTATTCAAACACTCAACAATGACGAGGAAACTGAAAAAAAAAATCTTTGAAAGTTGGTATTGTCTGTTTGGTGTGTGTCTGTTAGAAATAACATAGACTATCAGTTCCTTGGGGCATGACTGTTCTTTTGTTAAGCATATCGCAAAAAGATCAAGGCTCTGAGGGCTGCCGTAATAAAAATAAATATATATATGAGAAGAACAATAATGACAAAATAAATTTGTCACTGCATTTTATGAGCTTGATTTAGAAGTGATTACTTCTGAACTAAATGAAGGCTGGATAGCTGTGGTAAAGTGACATGGCCATAATATTCCTTTTATTTATTGTCATTTATGCTTCATTTGTACATCACATGATAGACTTTACTGCAGGGCGCAAGGGGAGCCCCTCGTCTCAGCCAGCATCCCGTTTCAATAATATGGAATACATTTTCACTGCAAATTCCAGACAGGGTTTTCCAGAGAGAGGATTATTCTTCTAAAGGAGGAGTTATTAGTACACTGCAGATGTGTTCCTGGGAAGCACAGGCTGAACGCATAAGATGATGACAAAAATCGGAGACACTTGCAATTGCAAATGCAATTGTTGCAATTGCATCATTTCCATTTCCCTTTCAACCTTTGAGGATATTAATTACATTTTTCGTTTGAATACTTGTAGCCTGTTACAAGATAGAACTACTCAGATTTAACAACCAGTTAACCAGCTCGATCGATGGTCCTACCTGTGCAAAATAACTTCACTAAGTAGGGGTGGCCAATCTGGGTCTGTCACGTCTTCGCAGCCGTTGTGTACGGCTGGAAGCAGCTGTAGCTGAAGGGCTGTACTGATACTGCGCTGTTTTCTTAATCAGCTCACTGAACAGCATTACCTGTAAGTTTTTCTGCCATCCCATGTTTTTCACGTGAGTTTTGCACCCATTGGTATTGTTTCAGGTCTTGCAAGATAAAGTGGAAAGTTACCGCGCTCAGACACGGGCTGCAGAGAAGAAGTTGCATCTCAAGGAGATGGAGTTCCATGAGCAGGTACCGGGCGCTGTCCCCCCGACCTCTTCCCCTGGGCAAGGAGGTTTGATGTGTAAAAATAATATCTTGCTTCAAAGCAAAAGCACATATTTTCCTGCAAAATGTTCAGCTAGCTTTCTTTTCTGGGTTGTGGGTTTTGGTTTTTTTTTTTGGTAATAAAAGAGAATTAAACTGTCGGAACCCTACAGGCAAATACTTATGTTCTCTATTTCAAGTTGGTATTTCAACTATTCTAGCTGTTAAATGATGCATTTATTTTGAATTGCCTATACTGTTTTAATAGAGGTTTCTGAGACTATTCCAACCTGTTGTTTAATGGATTGTATGAGGAGAATTATAATTGGACAGTAACTGAGCTAAAAATAACCTTTATTCCTGATCTTATGCATTTACTGCCTTAGCATATTGTCTGTAAACAGTTCCATATGATTGGTAGTGCTAAAATTAGTCTGAACACTTTTAGTGAAATCAGAAATTTAGTATGCTTCAATCAAAATAGTGTGTCATTTACAGACTAGTATTGAAACAGAAAGTTAGTGATCTGCATTCAAACCAGGTTAAATTGAAGTATTTGGGAAAATATACAGGTGGTGGATCTCTGGATCGCATATGAATTTAAAGATTTCTAGTACAAGTCATTTTTTGCAACATTTGAGAACTTTATTTGATGCTGAGTAAACAGTATCCGTAGCGTCCTATATAAAACATTTTTAAATCTATACCTGCTGGAATAGTAAGTTGGGGTGCTTGTAGAAGAATAATAATGAATAATTTCAAATATATTTTCCCCAGTTGTTGTCATCTGACTTGCACATGGGAAGCCTCGTTCACCCTTGGGGTTTAGGTTCATGTGTTTCCTCTCAGGAGAGTCGGTGATGAGCTAGTCTGCTCTCGTCCCCCTCTGCCTCCCAGATCTCGCTGCTGGGCCAGGCCCACCCTTCACGGCAGCGCTTGCAGCATCAGAGGAATTGGGAGTAATGAGTGAGTTGGCCTACAGCCCTTGCATTTGGGCTTCACAGAGTCTCCTGGAAAAGGAGGAGGAGAATCAGCTGTTTGGTGCATGGCTGTCCCTCCCAGGGACAGCACTGGCCTGCGCGCTGTGAGTCCTCTTGGGTTGGGTTTTTTCTTTAGTCTTTGTGACTGCTGTTTTGCTTTTATTCTGACCCATTTAGAGAGAGGATCCAGAAGAAGAAACAAAAAATTCCTTGTGAAACACAAAGGTAGAAGGCTAGACATGCAGGTTCACAGGATGTTCCCCCCCTTTCTGCCTTCAGGGTTTTCTCTTAGATGCGTGCTGGTCCAAACCAGCCTACAGAACTATCCTGTCCACACCAAAATGATGGAGTAGCTCAGCTGGTGAAGTCCTGTCCCCCCGCATAAACAGAACAGAAATGTTATTTAAATGACACGGCGCCATCCAGCTTAGAGCTTTTCCTGCAAGGTGGTTGTGTGTTAGCAGGCTTATGGTAACGCTCACATCCAAATCTGTCAACGGCCTTGACTGTGCCAGTCATCCCTTGGGACTTTCTGAAGAAGCTGGAGCCATCAGGATGTTTTTGTTTAGGTGGCTTTTGTCTATTTTGCAGACAAGCATTTTGAAAGTTGTTACTGTGTCTTCTCTGTGACTGGTTAATCCATCAGTTATGCTTATCTCTCCAGGAAAAAAAAGGCAAAAATGACAGCTCTGACATATTTCTAGTTGTTATGTCTTGGCCAGGCTACCTGTAAACATGTTCATCAAGTATTAACAGTAGCTAACGACTCATCAGCGGATCTGGGACTTGAAATATTTAAGGCAGTAACTTGCTTTCTGCTTTTACCAAATATTGTCTGAATCAGAATTGCGTAAAACATGAAAATTTGTGCTGGCACTATTAAAAAGGCCACTCTTCTGAGCTTTTACATGTCTGAAAGGAGGAGAGAGGGTTAAACAGCTTCTGTTTTTCATTAAACGGAAGAATCTTGTGTTTTGATTCTATAACAACAACAAACAAATGAATGAGACGTGAAAAAAACATTTTGTTGTGCTTTTCATTAAAAACAAAAAGCTGTTTCTCGTTATGGCTTGTTGGGTGGTATCTTAGTGCTCCGTATTTGTCCTTGTTTCAGTGCAGTGTCCCTCTGACTCTTCAGTCTCTGAGTGACTGACAGATCCACGAAGCTTAACTCTGTTACAATGACCCTCTGGTGATCACACAGAGTTAACCTTTCCTTATGCATTATCTGGAGAGTCGGAAACAAACTGTAGTATACATAAGGGGAGGGGATGGGGGGATGTTAGGGGGAGTCTGATGGCAAGCCCTGAGCCGTCTAGAGGTGAGCGTGGCACTGCAGTGGAAGATGAGCTGTTGGTTTTATGGAGCTTTTTCATTCCAATACTTCATGGTCTTGTATGAACTTGTGTTTACTCCTGTTTACTTTTTCGATCCGCTTCACAGCACGAGCAGATGCAGCCACGTTACATCTGTGTTGTTTCAGCAGTGGTGCAGTATGGTGATGTTATCTGAATGATGACTTCCAGTCCAGATGAATGTGTGTTTGCCAAAAGTGCCTGGGACCTTCTCTCACTCTGACCTACCTACCTAACTTCAGCTTTATTCATAAAGGTTGTCCTGTCTCTGCTAAGCATGGTTTTCCGGGAGAATGGTCCATGTGTTCAGCATTGCTACACTTCTAGTTTGGAGTCTCAGAACTGTAGCGTCTTTCTTCAAGTCAGAGTGTTGGATGTTTCCTTCAGAAATCAGATGCCCACCTTCTTGAAACATATGAAATTATGTTAATGGCACATGGCAAACTAACAGCAAATGAAGAGTACCTCACATTTGTGTAGACGTGGTGCTTGAGGACGTGGTCTCGTGGGTACGGCAGTGTTGGGTTGATGGTCGGACGGGATGATCTTACAGGTCTTTTCCAACCTTAGTGATTCTGTGATGTAATATATGGGGTTTTTGATACATGGTTCCAAGGCAGTTAAAGCAGTCTGGGAAATTCCTAGGAATTTGGGTGTGTCCAGCCCTTTTCCTTGCAAAGCAATGCTGAAGTTTCTTATATTTTTGTAGGATGTGACTAGGAACTGGCTTCCTGTCAGCTAATCCCATTTCGGTTATGCTCCTGTATCGTATACTCTTGTAGTCTATCACTTGGCTGTCTCTGATACGTGCCTAGATCTAACGCAAGACAAGATTTTTGATAGAAAGATCTTTCATTCTACTAAAAATGTTTCTCTTTCTTGAGTCATATGGCTTCGTGCAGTTGTCAGTCGTGGTTAAAAAATCTAAATTGTTCGTACAGCAGACTTCACATCCTGTGAATGTGTAATTAAGAATGATGCACATCACTGAGAACTTAGCGTGTGCCTTAATGAATCTGGGAATTTAGGCACGTGGAACAAATTCTGCTCCATTGGGGGCTGTATAAAAATTAATGGTAGAGATCTTCGTGCTTTATTACTTAGATTTCTTTAGAATACCTCATTTCATTTCAAATTCCTTTTCATAAGGGTAATCACCCCAACTCAGTATACTAAAAAAGTCCAATAATTTCTCTTTCAAGAATTACACATAAGATTTTTCAGAAAAAAAGCCCTACAACTATTCTTTACATTCCTTGTTCTAATGTTTTTGACTAGAGGCATGGATTGAGTATGATGTAAAATTGGTAATTGGGGATAATAGAGGGAAAAAAGATCCTCATGTTCAGAAACAACTGAAGTAGCAATGCTATAGATACTCAAACCATAGGAATACTCCTCCAAGCAGTCGAGTCACAAATAGAGTCTTAAAAGACAGAGATTCTCTGAAGACAGAAAATCAATTATGTTCAATTCATGAATATTACTGAGGAAATGAAGGGGAATACCAATGTAGATTTCCAGCCCTTTAATTTCCCTTTTCTCAGTAAAGGGAGAAAGGAGTTATCTGTGTAAGGATGTTGTAGAAATATTTGGACTAAAATGGAACAGCTTAGTTTGTTAAGTGGATTTCACTCGTGTCCAAATGAAAACAGGAGTGATAATTGTAAAAGAGCTGTGATTCAAAAGCATTCATCGAGCTTTCATTTTTAATGTTTATTACTCTGACTCGCTCAATTTTTTATGACTGCTGGATATTTACCACACTCAGCCTAACTTACTGTTTCCATGCCAACTAAATATATCTGTTCTCAGATGAATGCTGTGATGCATCGTTGGGAAATTTTAGTTGCTGTGTAGCACAGACAACTTCTAACGTTTGCCACACCTTCTCCTTGATGGGAACAGTGCCACTGCTGCAGATCTGTGGAGCTGTGAGCAAAGAATCAGTGAGAGAGAGATGAGCCGTGTGTGCCTGTGGCCAGGGTATGGGTCCCAAGTAATTCTTAATACGATAGCTGGAGGGCTTGAGCAATATTATCCCTGTAGTTTAGGGCTTTTGGTCCATGTTTCTTTTCAGATTCATTTTTAAAGGTGTCACAGAGTTTTCAGTGCAATCAGATAAATTCACAGAAAGTCCTTACCCTCACTGCCATCATCCTGCCCTGCTCAATATGCTCTGGAAAAAGCACGTGGAAGCAGTGAAGTTTCCTCCGTGGGGAGGTGGGTGAACTTCCACTGCTGGAAGTTTGGTACAAACCCAGCCGCTCTCCTGTTCCAGGGTGTTTCGCTCAGGTGCCCCAGACAATCATCAAAGCCAGACAGTGCTTTTGGGCCCCCTGCCCTGAATTTCCAGACTTTATCAAAGGGTTGTCTTTCTCAGAACATGTTCATCCAAATCAGCCTAATAAACTCTCGGTTAGGTATTTAAAAGCGACAGTTGGCTCTGTGGCCAGCTGCAGGTGAGGAGGACGTAGGCAGCCTGTTTTGCAGAAGCGATGAGCGCTTTGGAAGCGGAGAAACACAGTCAGCACGCACTGGAGGCAGTGATGAAACTCTGCCGTTTGCTCTGGTTGCCTCAATCCATGTCACTGAAACACTTACATAATTTTCCCCCAGAGACCCATTTCTGCTCCCACAGAAATGGGAA